CGCGGCCCTTGAGGACCATTGAGGCTGCGTACTTTAAGGCTGCAGACCCTGAATTGGGATACAGCCAATGAGACAATATTGATGGAGAAGTATCGAGATGGCCAGAACGTGGTGCACTGCACCTTGGTGGATCAAGAGAAAACAGGGCACTGTATGAGGAAGAAGAGTGCCCAAGAACTATATGAGGGTGGTGCAGGACATGTACGAAGACAGTGAGACAGTAGTGCAGTGTGAGGAAGGAGGTCAAAGTGGGGGTGGGATTACATGAGGGGTCTCAAAGAGCCTCCGAGGTGGAGGTATGCATCACTTATACTGTCATCAGGGTCTTTGGGATGCCATCTAACATCAGGGTTAAATAGATCCAACTCATAAAAAAGTTGATGCAACACTTTTGTTAAATTCTTTGAGTTTAAATCTAGACTTCAGTCATATTTTGATTGTTTTGTTAGAATCCATTGTGGTGGTGCACATAGCACAAACTGTTTGTCCAAAAGATTTTGAATCTGACAGTATCTTAACATTATTGTTAAGTCTTTCATATATAATTGTAAAATCTTTTGACTACCTAAAAATCATTTTCTGTTTCTATGTCTTTCAGATGATGCTGAAGATGACATCATCTACTCAGATGTTAAAGTGAAACAGCGTACAAGAAAAGCAACACCACGTTCAAATCAAGATGCAAGTTAGCTTGTCCCTAATGCATTCTGACCTAGCACCAGTCTTAAACCTGTTCATGCCAAGTTAGCAGTTTCAGTTAGAAGCTCTCACCAACATCTTACATATAACACTGGAGATTTAAAAAGCTGTGGTCATTAGTGTTTGTGCGTTTCTTGTGCTGTGCTTTGTATATATAGCAAATAACAGCAAAGGTGAGCTGTGCCTCTCTAAGACAACAGCTGAGTCAAGCATCAACCATCATCTCATAGCTTGAGCATTTAAGCTAATATTCACTGTGTCTGTCATGACCGTAAAACAATGAAACCATGTGATACTAACTTAGTTGCACACGGTGAGAAAGTGCATACTATACATGTGTCTTGCATAACACTGGCTTGTTTTTTTTTACTATTAAGAATCACAGCAGATGACAAAATGCCTACTTATTATATCTAACAATACAAAAAACATGAAAGATTTACTCTAGAAATAGCTGTAATTGTGCTTCTATTACAGTTTGTTATTTAAGTCATGTATTTTCAGTGCATACAGCTTTTTGCCTGCAGCTTAGAGTCTCAGTATTGTATGTATCAACCTGCAACTTGTGAATAAGAGTGATTGTTTTCCTTTACTTATATTAGCTTCTGATTAGTGGTTCTGTCATATTCTGGAACAATCTGTAAACTTTAGTAGTAAATATAAAAACAGTTTGAGAAGTTTGAGCTGCAAGAAATGCAGGGATCAGCACTCAACTCATGAATCCAGTGTTATGTACAAATAACTGGAAGCAATAAAATAAAATGGAAATTAATAATTTACTAGCTGACATGACATCAAAGCACTGAAAACACATGAAAACTCCTCAGTTACAGCTTCTTTCAACAGACTGTCTGTTAATATTAACCCTGTGATGAAGCTTTACAGGCTCACCACCAGGTGGCGCCAGTACCAGTGACTTTAGCCACCAGCTGCCTAGTATACTGCAAGTGCTAGTTGCATACCGGTACATACAAAGCAGACTTACATGGAGAGACTACACATGTATGCTGTAAGTACATGTTTATGTCATTTTTTAGTCTAAGTATAGTGTAGCTTTGTAAAAACTGGACTCTTATTGTTAATGCAACAACTGCTAGCTCAGTTTATGCTTCAGCTATCAAACACATATACAAAGTGACAGAAATGAGCTAACTGGTAGGTTCAGCACCTATCTATCAGCCAGCGTGATGCACCTGAAACTGATAGTAAAACATTACAGCAGTGTGTTGCAGATAATTTGATTCTATCCGTGTAAGACAGACAGAAAAAAATAGACTTTTTAACTAGTTTTTTTTTTTTTTTTAACTCAATCTTGTAGAGTGAGAGGATGGCTGAGGAATGGAGAATTGCACTGGTACCGTTTTTTAATAAATCTAGTAACGTACAGAAGGATGAAGTGGATGAGCCATACCATGATGATAAAGGAAAGTTTTGCAGCTAGGTTAATAAGAGAGAAAATGACGAGTGAGCAACAGTTAAGCGCAATGCCAAGAAAGAGCACTACAGATACAGTTTGCATTCAGGGAGTTGATGTAAAAGTATAGAGACGATCGGAAGGAGCTTCACTGTGTCTTTGTGAAGTAATTTCCCAAAAAGTATAAACAACTCTAACTACACTAACGTTATTCTATTACTTTTATACCCGCTCATTTAACTAACCTTAATATATTATAATCAGATCTCTCTCCTTGTAGTTTATATGATATTGTACCCCTCTCTTTCTCACTCTGTGTGGGTGTGCTAGTAGATTTTCTTTGTATTTTTAAACATAAACTTCAATCAGTCAGTGAATCTGCAACAAATATAAAATAGAAAGAGCTGTGGTTTTAACCTAACATAGTTTTAGCATCCCACATTAGGGTGTCAACCGATACTTGCTGTAGACCATGTTGATGAGTTCAAATTGCAGGACGTGAGAATAAAATCCCTTTAAAGGTATATAGTGCTTCATTGGTATGTTTACAGAGATTCAGAGAAGCATGCGGTATCACAGTCTGTCTAGTGAGAATATAATATGGGATTATCTGGGACATATTCCATGATTTTCCATGATTTAAATGAACCCTCAATGCTGTCTTTTTGCATATATTTTAAAGCACACCTTAAAGCATTCTCTTCTGTTACCAACAGTTTAACCTTGAGATGATTTTCTGGGCTACACTTAAAGTTACTCTTTTTAAATTCCATCCATATAGCAGCTCAAAAATGCTTGATATTAAGAACATGAGAAATAAAATGTCTGAATATCATCAAAAGTAATACTCTAATTTGTCTAATTACTATATTGACATGTTTGTATAAGTAAAGACAAGTATGATGAGAAACTAAATGCTTGAGTAAGACTAACATGACTTTAAATACATGCTTACTCATTTCTGTCCAAACCACAAGACAAACACAGCAGCCCAAAGCCCGTCATGCCTGCCGCCACAGAAAAGAACTCCAGGTGCTGGTAAGTAATGCTAAACTTAATTCTCATCGGTGAAATTACTGTACTATAAAAACAATTTTAAAAAGATTTCAAAGATCCATTGATTATGAGTGTAAAAAATACTAGATAATACAAGAAGAATTGTTACGAAACCCTTTTGATTGGTCACCATAACTTTGGTGTCCACAGTTCAAACAATATGTCATAAATCTGTTGACCAGAACTACAAAATTTAAGCTTAAAGTAGCGATTTGAAAACAGACTAAGATTTTAAAAGTAGTAATATTTTGTTTGATAGGATAGCCCTAATATGGTGTTCAAAAAAAGAAATGTGGCCTCAACCAGCGAGCACAGAAAAAACCAAAGTAAAGAATAAAAATGTTTTTCTAAGCTAGATATTTATAATTATCAGCCATATAACAATTAATATAACAATTATATTTGTTGACTTACTAAAATAATGGGAAGTTTTATACTGTGG